TCAGGGAGGCTAAAAAATTAATACTTTTCTTCCCACCTTCTAAATTCTTCTAGTTGAGCTAATAATCAAATTAAAGGAGACAGATTAACAGGAGAAAATCAAATTTTAATACATGTGCATGGAAAATTCACATAAGCAGGAAAATTCCAAAGATAGTGAGGCAAAATTAGGTTCAAATGACATTTTGGACAAAGGAGAAAAGGGGTGGATAAGGTATTAAATTTCAGAAGTGAGAATGGGCGATTTACAGGTAGTTGAGGAAGAGGGGAATATACTTGGCAGGCAACTTCTTGCTAGGCAACTCAGAAACAATGGGACACAGTGGGTATCTAGCTAGCAGGCACCCACCTGAAGCCCTCTTATTTACCATACTTAATTCAAATTAGGCTAAGTCAACATCCTAAGATTCCCTTCCTGGAGTAGGCCTTTCCATCGGAATCTCTTGAGCAGGAAGGGAGAGGGTCGAAGGTTCTTCCTGATGTTTCTTTTTTAAGATTATAAAAATGCATAGATCTGTAATAAAAATAATTGGCTGTACTGAGTCTAGATTCTTAATAAATGGCTTAAAATCAACATCCCCGAAAGGCAGCTTCAGGGTGGCAAAATTTTGGTTCCCTTTGGGGCATATTTTAAAATATCTCAGATGACTAAACCTCAAGGAGGGAAAAGAAATGCAAGGGAATGTGTTACAAAGGAAAAATACAAAAGCCTGATTCTGATACATTTACACAGACTCTCTATAGAGAAGGAAGTCCAACCTTATATCAACTCCAGATCATCAATGTTAGACTTTTTTGTGTTTATTCTTTCATAAAAATGTAGCTCATATTGCAAATCTATTTTGAGTAGCAAATACCATGCCCAATTTGCAGATAGAAAAATTGAGTCATTGGGAAGGTATTTTACTTGCATTCGAACAGAGCAAGTCAGTGAGAGACAAGACTATCACACAATTCTCTGGCCGATGGAATAAAAACAGAGCTATAGGTCTATATATTTCTATCAAATTTAAGTTATAAGGGGTTTTTCTTATGGCTATAATTTAGTCTATAATTTGTCACTCAAATATCACCATCCTACAATTATATTAATGAATCGTCTCTAATCATTTACAACAAACACTCCTCTGATGCTTCCTTAAGGAGTACACATTAATGACTGGATACTTGACATGTTCTTTGGCTGCCTTGGATCCTGTCAATATTTGCTGTCAAAAAATCCATTTCCATTTATGGTTTCTTAAGTGATGCCTTAAAGATGAAAAAGTATCAAATCAGTGAGTTAATGGTTCATTTTTCAATGTGGCTTTTCTTGGATACCTATTCTGAAATTATCCATTTTGTGTGCCTCTTCCCAAGGCCATTCTGAAAGTGTAAGTCTGTGATTTTAGAGCTAGTTTAGAGAATTTTAGAGTGACCAGAACTAACTTTGATCAAGTGAAAAGAGCTCTTTGGGTTTGATAGAGTGAGAGGTCTGTCCCTAAGGTCAGGCAACTTCCATTTAGAATCCTGGCTTTTCCTGGAACTGTTTGTGTGTCCTTGAACAAATCATCCAATCTCTTTGAGGCTGTTTCTTCTTCATCAGTAAAATGGAGTTGATAGTCCGAACCTCATAAGTTTGTTGTGAGGATGTAGATGTTGTGATGACTAGGCTGAATCTTGGGGTTTTTGGGGGGCATAAGGTAGTTTGTGGTGGACGTGGCAGGAGAGTGGTTACTGTCCCACAACTGATTAAGATGACAGGTAGTCTCAAATCCAATTCTGCCACACATACAGACATTTGTTAAACACACATTCATTAGCAAGCAAGCATAAAACTGTTCAAACAGTCTTGTCTGTGAGCTTGAGGAAGTCTTAGCTCTTGTCCCTTTAAGTGTTCCAAGTGACTGCCGCCTGGCATAAAAGGTTCACTCGTGGCAGGTGGTGATTCTGTTGCCCTTAGTTGGCAGTAGCCAGCTGGAAATCCTCATTATCGATGGCTGGAGACAGGCCTGTTTGGGGATCACTCCTCGAACCCCATCTTTGAAGATGCGAGCTACAGGTATCAATCAGATTCTTACATTCTGAAAATGGTCCCTCCAATACACTGTGACTTTATGACAGTAAAGAGCTGAGATGGGGAGAGTTGTGAAAGAAGTCCATTCTGGAGATTCTAGAGTTTCTAGCCCCCTGACAACCAGGTTAGGGGAGCAGGAGAGTTATCAGCCAGCAGAGCCAGCAGAACTATACTCTAGACGCAATAACATATCTTAACCTCTTCTAATTTCATCTGTAAAAGCCATTTCTAATGCTCATTCCATTATTTTGCCTATTTTTGACATTTATTCAAACACCAAAGCCTCAAGTGTTGGTGGAGATATGGCTAACAGAAGCACCTGAAATAGCGATCTTGGGGATGTGGTCTCAGTGATATTTTACCATCCACCCACCCCAGGAGGGTGAACTCACAATTAGAGTAAGGGTTCCCCAGAGTAGTAGTTTAAACCAATCTGCACATATAAAACATTACACTGTCTATGCTAAAGTAGTTTAAAATAAATCATAGACATCTTAACAATGGGCACAGTAAATATTTTAGGTATATTTCAATATTCATCTGCTTAGAAATGATCTCTTTCAATGGCTGTCAGATGAGCTCCCCAAGTTCCAAAAACTGCTCATGGCCCACTGCTTGGGAGAAGCAGATGGGGTTCTGGGCTCCCTACTACCTGAGCCAGAACAGCTACGCCTCCACCTAGTTTGCATTTTAGATGTTCTCACAGTACTTGAAGAAGGTTTCCATGGCTAAGAGATTTGAAACCCATTGCTGAAGCCGAACATTCATGCTACAAGTGAGGAAGATAAGACCCACTTTTTCAAGTACAGAGAAGCTATACTAACTCATAACACTTCGCTCTTTTCACTACCATAAGCCACCCATTTACCATGGAGAGGACATATGCACTGCTAAAATTAATCTCTGGGCAAGAAAAAGTGGTAGTCCCATAGCATATCCTTCACTAATACATTATCCTCGATGACCTTTACATGTTCCTTTATTGAAACATAGAGCATGCACACTTGATTAAATGGGTTAGTTTAGCAACCCAGTCTTTCAGAAACAATGTTAACTGTAACTAACCATTAGAAAGACACCTTCTGTAGATGCTTAATAAGTGAGTCAGGGTACTGGCGATCTAATTAAACTTTTAATTGGTTAACCTTCTCCTAAATAGTCCCTATATGGACTTTTCCTCTCTTTTATCCAAACTATAGTTTTGGAAATAGTTATTGGTTCAATAGAGATCATCTCTGTGGGTCTTATTTACATTGTTTTGATATTATTTCAGGGCCTTAATGATATTTCATCCACTCTACGAAGCTATCAATTATAAAATACTATTATTTTATGTCCTACTAAGAAATAAAATGTTTCAATTAAAATGTTAAGATTATATTGGTTATAAGACATTCTGATTTCAGAGATATGAAAAGAGGTACATCTTGGAATTCATGAAGTAGCTACCATATTTGCCACTATATAAGACATATTTTCCCTCTTGTCTTATGATCCTCCTCCTTCCACTCTAGGCCACCTTATATTTCCATTATGCAAAAGAATAGCATAGAAGGATCAGCCTTAGTTCTTCCCAAATGTTTCCCTTTAAAATTGTGGTGCACTTAGATTTCAGCACATATGGTACATGTTGACCAAAAATACTTCTTGGCTTCTCGGCCCCAGGAGTGGTGATGTACCTCCATGGATACCAACCACGAACACTTTGGATCTGTTTCCTTTCTTTGGGATCAGCATTATTCTAGCAGGAAAGGGAGTTTTAAAGGCCCTAGGTGGAAAAAATCACTTCCTGCTCTCTAGAGCAGAACACAGACCTTCACATAGATACCAGATACTTCCTGTGTCTTGATCTCCTGGCAACAGAGCTCACATCAGGCAGTTCTGAATGGACCTTACCACACTTTCTAATAACTTTGTTTCGCGTGGTACCAAAATCATCTAAACTGAGTCATAAGGTAAAATATTTTACTCTCTTTGCCCAGGCATCATTTTCATTCGTGACATTAAAGTGCAATTTCAATTGTTCAAGTCCACATATCCAATTACTCATAAGGCGACCCTTTATCTTAAGTAGAAAAAAATTATGTTCTACCTTAACAAAAAGCTTTAATGCTTGTTTTATGTGAGTGACACTCCTGGTTGAAGACGTTTTTGGTCTGCATTAAACATTCTTGCTTTTTCATATTAGATGAAATAGGGACAAAATTCAAATTTGCATATTCTCTTCCCCAGGTTCAAATTACTGTGTCAGTATATTCCTTGCATAATTTAATGTCTAGCATAGATCACGTTTGGTAGAAGGTATTTTTTGTGAACTGTGGGTGGATATTAGAATGTCCTTTTAATAAAGGACAAGAATCTATGAATTGTGATACCAATGAACTTGATATTTTAGCACTCTCCCTATACAATGGTGTGTTGGAAAAAAGGTAGAAGAGTGTCAATTACAGAGACTTAAGGAAGTGCTGAAATAGCCATAGGACATTATGGAATGGAGGAGGCAGTTAAGGAGGTGTGATCGCCCCCCTCCCGTGGGTGGTAAAACTAAAGGAAGCTGAAGGAGGGCTAAGGTGTGGATGGCTTCTGTGGATACTACTTCCTCCTTTCCTTTCATTATGTATTCCTTCCTCATCCCAGAGGGAGGGAAATGTTAAGCACCACAGGAGGGAAACAACCAGAACAAATTACCTTCAAATTCTTCCATCCAATAGAGAATTGTGAAATCACTAGTCAGACCTAAGGATGAATACCAGAAATCTGTAATAAATGGAAGTCGAATTTTCCTTTGCATATTTTTACACTGTCATTACAGCAATTTTCTTGAGGTACAAAGCTTTAAAGATATAGTTTTCAGATGCATTTTTCCTCACAACAATTACCGTCTCAGAATGTCATTGCAATTTCTTACTTTTCTTACGCTAAATCTTTCCTGTTTTCTCTTTTAGGCAAATATCAATATCCCAATGGGAGCCTTCCGGCCAGGAGCTGGGCAACCTCCGAGAAGAAAAGAATGTACTCCCGAAACGGAGGAGGTGAGAAAAACTTAGCAGGCAGAGCAG